TAATAAAAGACTAAATTATGCATTCATCCAAAAATTGACATTGAACATACAAAGGAAAGAATCACATGGGCTTTTTAAGGTTATAATGTGGTTTGGTTAACAAATAAGGGGTAATTCCTAAAGCTAATTTAAATAAAAAATTTCCTAAACCTAAGGGAGTGATCAACTCACAAAAGTTAAAACACAAAATTTCAGTCAAACTTCTTCTTTCATCCCAAGTGTTACACAAAACACACGTTACATTAGCACAACTGTTTGATACTCTTTTTATTTTTATTTTTCAAAACTTCTCTCTTTTTTTATTTCTTTTCCTTTTTTTTTCTTTTTCACTTTTTTTTCTTTCTTTTTCTTCTCTTTTTCACAACTGCATAGCAACCAACAACATAAGTGCGCAAACATTTCTCTCCCCAACTTGAATTCAACAAACATCAATGTGTGAATACTCCTACTTTCTAAGTCAAGACAAAAATTCAAACCATAAATCTTGGTTGAGGGTTCAAGAAAACAAAGAATTAACATCCATCCAAAAAGGTGAACTAAACACTCATAGACAAGCATCAAGTTCAAAAACAACATGGACGTTGACAAAAAGGCTCAAAAGGGGTTAACAAAAGTTCACACACTCACAAGGTGAATTGACTATTTGGTTAGGTAGTTGTGATAAAAATCAAAATAAAATGCCTTGATCATTTTCATGCTTTCATACAATCAACACAAACAAAAGATTAAACATAATGAAATCCAGTTAAAACAAGAATTGTAGCCTCCGGTATATATGAACAATGAAAAGTTTCCTCATATTTGGGAGGTAAAAAGGGAACTAAAAGGATTCAATCAATAAGCAAGCAATGTAAAATAATGAATGGCATGAAATGTGTACGAATGGAAAGTTTCCTAAACATCTTATGCTATAGAAAGCGATAAATGAGTATCTGGGTGTACCAACTTCAAAACAATATCATTTGAAGGTTGAGAAAAACAGAAGAAATGGGGGTTTGAATTGGGTTTTAAAACTTTTCATTTAGAAGTGCTCAACACAAATAATTAGAATTAGAAACAATGTGTTATAAGACAAATATTGACACGTTCGGTTTAGCCAGGTTCACCTTAGAAAATATTAATCTTGCTCACCCGCCAAGGTGATTTCGCATTAGAAAATGACTTAATCCACTATAACCAATCTGATTACAATTGCACGGGCTATCCGTCGGTGACTAATAAATGAACGAGCTACCTGTCATGGACTAACAAATGCACTGGCTACCTGTCGGTGACTAACAACAATAGTGATATCCTATTAGTGATCCCTTAATAATTTTGACCTACCCGGTCCTCTAAGAGTTGTAACGACCACTGACTCCTTAAGGCTTCTGACCTATGTGGTCCCTTGAAGGAGATTTCTCAATGTCTTCTTGAGTTCTAACCTTCCCGGACACTCAAGGACAATCAACAACAGTTGATTAATGTGTTTACATGTTTCTTCTAATAAGCTGATTACACAAATGTTTAAGTCCTGATTGTTTAACACAAATATGAGCAACAACTCTTATGTTTAAACAATTTAAATTAGTAACACAATAATGAGTAACAACTCTTGTGTTCTAACAGATTAAAATAACAACATAATTATAAGCAACGACTCTTGTGTTCTAACACATTACAATAACAACATAATTATGAGCAACAACTCTTGTGTTCTTAATAAGTAGTGATATCAACATAGTAATGAGTAACAGCTCTTGTGTTCTAGCAAGTAATAATATTGACACAATAATGAGCAACAAATCTTGTGTTTTGATCTTTTTCTTTTTCTTGCTTTGATCTTTTCTTTTATTGATTTTTGTAGTGTTACTGTTCTTGAATTCAAGTCTTGCAAGTTTGCAAATGAACAGTTGATCCTTTATATAGGCGTTGAGGAAGTATACCGTTATAGTACTACACATGTCACTTTCATTACCAGCTGCCATAACGGTAATAAATGATCGTGGAAGACAAACAGTACACAGTACATCCATTTGAATGGAATATGTAATTTTACTTTTGTACTAACTCTTCTAGCACTCATTTCTGATGATATTGTCTTCTGACGAACATCCCTTCTAATAAAGTAAATTGGCTTGAGAATATATCATTTTTGATCTTTTTCTTCTGATGGATTATATGATGCAGAATATTAATCAGTCCAGAAGATCTAACTTTCCATGATTTGACTTCTGACGGAATGTTTTTTGATGTGAAGTGATGTGCGCATATTCCACAAAGTATCTGAGTCTTCAGAATCTTGACTTTGTCTTCAGAATTAGAAGCATCATCTTTTCTGATGAACAAATTTTGACTTTTGATTCAGAGGTAGAAGCTTTTCATTGATGTGTTCAGAATCTTGACTTTGTCTTCAAAATTAGAACAACAGCTCTTCTGATGAACAAATCTTGACTTCAGGTCTTTGACGTAAAAGCTTGTTTTTGGTGCAATCCCATTTTCTGATCTTTGAGCAACAACTCTAACATAAATCATTTCTTTGGTGCAATCTTATTTTCTGATCTTTGAGCAACAGCTCTAATAAAAATTATTTCTTCTTGAATATTGTGACTTCTGAAGCAGTAGCTTATTTGGAAGTGCACGTTGAGATCTTATTTATGGTGACAATTCAGCATTCTTCGAAACTACTGATGTTTCTTCAAAAGTGGATGTGATAGCCTTTCTGATGTGTGTTATCTGATGATTCTTCAGACAACAGTCCTGAATCAAATTAGAACTCTAATTTGCACACTCAAGAAACTATTAGAAACAAAATTGTTTATATAAAATATATGTATTGCTATCATCAAAACCCAGAGATTAATTGTAGAATCAAAATCTTGTTCTAACAACCTCCCCCTTTTTGATAATGACAAAACCATGTATTTTGATGTAACAATTTTACAAGGTAATATCATAATCAAATTAGAGTTAAGACGAAAACTTCTCCTGATTAGCGTAAGCTCCTCCTGAGTCTAAGACTTACAGTTTAGAAGGAAGGGATATATGAGCATTATTTAGAAAGCTCCCCCTGAGTTAAACAATCTCCCCCTGAATCTAAAACTTAAGATCTTATCAAAAAATGGGATTTTTTGAACTTGATTAACATTTTCCATAATTCTGATTGAAGCACGTGCAACCGAATAATGGAGAAAAATGATTCAATTTTCTTTGAAGAGGAACATATTTTCTTTCTTGGATGACGAAGGAGGCGAGTTGATATTAGATTTTCTATGTTTTTTTTATAAAAGATTTTTTTTATTATTATAGTTTATGGCCGTCTTTTTTGAGGTGTATAAAATTCAATTTTTTTATATAATAAAACAAATATTATTTGTTTAACTAATAAATATATTATATCAAAATTTATTTAAACATGTCATTAATTATTATATATAATATTAAATTTTGATATTAATATCATTAACATTAACTTCCATTGTTTACAAAAATCTTATGACAACTTATTTGATTTTATTTGACTTATTAATTATCATTTAAAACTATTAAAATAGAATATAAAAACCTCTTGAAAATATTGTCTCTTTCTATAAGATTGTTTTGAAAAATATATCTATTTTCATCTTTCAAAATTTAACGATCAATTGATATATGTATGCACCATCACACTTTTGAGGTAGAAAGGGAGATATATGCTTCCGTACAATTCGTCACATTTATTGAACGAACGGATTAATACTAGTGGTCGAAGTATCCAATGGCGATTCGTCAATGATAAGTAACGAATGGAGCAAATGTGTATAATTCGTAAAAATAACAAAACCGCTAGAAGGAGGGGTTGAACCTCCGACCTTGTGGTTAACAGCCACACGCTCTAACCAACTGAGCTATTCCAGCTTTTTGTTTAGAGTTCTCTATTTTGCTTATTTATTAGGTCATAATGTAAACAACCTAGTAACAACAAAAACCATGATGTCTTTAGGCATTGTGAGTATTGATCTTCAAGTCATGAGATTGTAGGTTGACTTTTCTTCTACCACTAAAAGATTTATTTGAATTGATGTATGCAACCGAGTGCATAATGACTGCTATGAACCCTCTGTACATTGGCAATGTCTTATGAGAATCTGGCTTAAAATTTTTGTAAAGTATAAGGATGCATTAAGGTACGACTATTTGTTTATAGGCTTATCTAAATATGATGTCAGGTAAGCCTTAATCAAATAGGCTTCTTTTCACATTTAACTTCACCATGTCTACTAAAATAACTATTGGTTCATCTTATTGTTGATTTATCTTTTTGTACGATGTCACACAATGTCCCATATTTTCTCTAGTACTATGATTATTGAAATTTTGATTCTGGAAATTTTTCTTGGGCTGATTGGAGGGAACTTAGACTTCTGGTGTCTACAGCATGTGCTTGAAGTCTTTCCACAGATCTAAAAATTTGAATGTGTTTAAAGAATCTAATTAATTTTACCTAAAAGTTTGTTTCTGCTAAGATACAAGTATAAGAAAAAGTAATTGGGAGATGACTGATGAACTTGGGAGATGACTCACATTATGTATCCAACAAGTCCCCTAACAGAGACAAATCACTGTCAAACAAAAAACTTGTTTAAAAAAACAATTCTATATAGGGTCATATATTTCGGTAATTGTTAAAATTATGAATACTACATTCTTAATTCTCAATACAAAGTTTAGCTGTTTCACAGCATTTCAACCAGAAAAAATATTGCTACAAGAATTTAAACTTCAGTCACAGACAGAACCATGTTTGGCATCTAATTAGCCCAACTAAAAGTTAATCAATTAAGAGAACCAGAACAAGAAAGTAATTTATATACAAACACAAAAGTCGTTTCAGTTTTTCCCCAATGACCATTGACCTAAGTCTAAGGAATAAATAATGGTGTTCCTAAATTAAGGGCAGCCATATTATGTCTAGCAAATAGGAATCTCTTGCAGCAAGCATGTCTAGCAAATAAGCCTGAGTCTTTCTCCAAACTCTCAAATCAACAATTCTCCTGATCTGAACAGCTCTGGTGCTTTTTCTCTGAAAGAAAAATAAAACATGAGTTAATGTTGCTGCTGGATATGCAAAATGTCAAATGTTTTATGATCATGACATCAAGATCTTTGATGTTATAGTTAGAATTTAGTAAATTTACCTGGGCTTAAAATTGTTATGTTTCTTGTGTCAGATGCAGACGCAGTCAGGGAATCAGTGCCTGCAAAAGTGACAACTTATCAGTAAATCGTGGTTTAGGTCAAATCTAAGTAGATAATAAGTTGTTATCAATGTTTCATTACCTTGTATGTTCATATCTTTCTCGGATAGAGCTTCTGCCATAGTTGATGGTTGATCAGATATAACTTGATTATCATTTGAATGACTTGGTGTTGGATCACATGAAAAATCAAGACCCTCACAAGAAAAATCCAGATCATTTAACATTTCAGCAAATGAAAAGTCCATGCTAAGGGCATCAAAGTTAGGGAAGTCAATGTCATATAAGTTAGACTCTGTTGTAGATATCTCATTAGGCAATGATTTGTCAGAATCCAACCTTTGAGGCATATCAGAGGAATCAAAGTTCAACCTGCTTCTTACATGTTCCCTCTTAATTGCCTTGTCTGAATTCGGTTTAACAGGCGAAATGCAATGACTACTCTCTATATAAGCCATTTGCTTTGCAGGGCTAACCATAACTCTTTTGGTTGAAATTACAGTGTAACAAGTAGATGTAGTCTCTGCATTACTAGGTGGAACCTGAGTAACCTCAGGCGGGGATATATTTGTATCACTATGACTGGAATTTGCCCTTGGAGGAGTCTTTGGAACTTGTGAGTTGCTCGGGATAGACTTCTGAGGCTGATTAAATAAGCATTTCACAACACTAGAACCTTGAACTTGTGAACCACTTGGTACAAAGTTTGCAGCTGATGATTGAGTTACAGAAGAGGGATAATAAACTTCTTGATTATTAACAACACTGTTTGATTGTGGCAGTGTATTTTGACCTGAGATGAGGACAGAGCAAAATTATAATCATGATCTCACAAAAGATTAGCACATATATATGCATCAGATGAACAAGTTAGAAGACAAGTATACTATACCTAGGACAGGAACCTTCCTACTAGTACAGGATGGTCTACCACGCGCTCTCTTTGCAACTGAAGGAGCATCCACTGTTCTAGTATCTTTTCTCTTTCTGTCAGATACACTAATCATGGGTGTTGAAAAGTTTCCATTCTCTGCATTTGTGTTGTTAGACTGAGGCACTGATAGCATATTTGATGTGTTTTGTGTTGAAGTGGTGGCAGTGGCAGTAACAGGAGCACTGGGAACACCTGAAAGTTGAAAGTTAAATCAGTTTTCATTCCAATTGAAGCAAATAAACTCCAGCAAACAATCGCAACACGCACACTTAAAACACAAAAGAAGCAAAGTGTGACTAAGTGATTAAATGTACAACTCTCAATGGTTAATCAGAATCAAAACATGGTGAATTAAAAGAAACCTAGTATCATAAGTTTTACTTAATTGTCTCAAATACAAATCAATTCATACAAATACACCAAAATGAAACATAACACTGTTCTTCAAATAGTCAAAGAAAACGATTGCCATGTAAAGTTTAAGACATAATCATTTGTTAAGAATTACAGCCTACAAACAAACACAACTACAATTCAACCAACGAGCAAAAGGTTATATCTAGGGTTTTCAAATATATCGCAATGTCAAGACTCCGGGTTGCATAAACATCAACAAGATCTCATCACAATTCTCAACAATATAACAAATCACAACAAACTACTCATGCAATTCAAACTGTTTCTGATAATCAACTCATTCTAACATGAACATAAACAGAACCCAACCTAAAACCAAAAAAAAAAAAAAAACACCAAAATTCAAACCCTGATTAATCAAGAAAACCACTTCCTCACCAATTTTCTGTTGAGGAACCGCCACAGAGTTCCCATTCGGCATAGCAACATTCGTCAATGAAATATTCTTACTAGCATTATAAACATTCATAACATTCTGCACCCCATGCAAAAACATCTGAACCCGGTTCTTCTCTTGCTCCATATAAACCCTTTCTTGATCCAACATCACTTTCTGCTCCTTCAAACATATATACTCATGAAGCATCTCACCTAAACTCATCAAACTCTTGGGCACCTAAAAACCAATCAAACATATAAAAATAAATAAAAATCCAAACTTTAACAAAAAGGGGTAATTAGTAATTACTAATTACTAATTACAAACCTCGCTAATTGGAGAATTGGCTATGAGTGACGAAGCTTCGATCCGGAACGATTTTCGCGTTTCAGTGAAATTGTTGTCGCAGAGATAACGATCGACGATGAAGGCGATCTGGATTGGGGTGACTTTGCCTTTGCCGAAGGATTCGTGTTTCTTGGATTTGGATTGTTTGGCCATTGTTGTGAAATTGGGGTGAAGCTAGGGTTTTGTGAAGTGAATATTTATTTGGGGAATGAGAAAATGAAAAAAGGAGGGAAGTGAACTGAGGTGAGAGTGTGAGGCGCGGGTGTTGTTTTTTGGGTTCAAAATTTATAGATGGTTTTGGCGGAAAATGTGAAATAAAACGTTGCTTACCGCGCATGAGTCAATGCGACTTCTCAACCTCATTCTTTCTTTTTTTTATTTCTTCTTTAGTTATTCATAAATAGATTTTAGTTATATGCATCTAAGTATAAAGATAGTACTACTTGTCAATGATTCGTAACCATTAAAGATACTATCTATATCTTACCTTTTATATAAAAACGGTTACTATTGGGAAAAAAAGTGTGGCACTTAAATCATGGTTAATTTAGTAATTTTTAATGTTTATTTTATTCTTGCTATTATATTAATTATAATTTTTGGATTGGGATATTTTATTGGATCTAAAGGGGGTGATCCATACTAAGTAGCTCATGATGGAAGCGAGTTTAGCATTTGAAATAGACTTATTCTATTAAATGACCTAGGAGTCTGATGGGAAGAGGTTGTCTAAAACATATGATAATCAGTCTGATAGGATTTGGATCTGATTTGGATTTGAAATGCATGGTTTGTCTCACTTGTCGCACGTGATTTATGAGGTGTTTGTGGAAGAAAGATTAAGAGAGACCAATCAATGAAGGAAGCCAGTTTCCATGCAATTTAAGGAAGAGCCAGTTTTTTCCATTCCCACGTTTTTGTTGGGGAAACTCTGAAAGCCTTTTCCTAGTCGAGTCCATTAAATCTCTATAAATTCCCTAACCCCAAGCCAAGAGGTCATATACACAAAATATAGGGAAAAATATAGTCGCTTACGATTTTTACGTGAATAACTTCTTTATCTAAAGTATCGTGCTTTAGCAAATACAAATGGCGTCAACTATGGGACCCTAATAAAACTAACCTAAGTCAAACTTATATTCACTTTGGAAACAACCTCGATTTCCACTCTCAATATGGTACAAACGTGAGGAGCCACGCCAGTCAATAGCAGTTCTAACAGTAAATACCAGGCTATAGTAAAAATGAAAGTTGTTGTGGAAAAGTTGTGGCAACACAAACAAGTTTTGAAAGACAACATTGTCAACCTTCAACATCGACAACAAGAGGTTGATCCACTTGAGGAAATCGAAGTCATGGCCCTCGCCATATTTTTGAAGGAGAGGGGTCATGCTAGAAAATTTCAAACCTCCCTCATTGACAAAGTTTGACGGAAAGAGTGGCCATCAGGAGCATGTTGCCTCCATCAACACCCATATGGCTATCATTGGCGCTAACAATTCCTTAAAGTGCAAGTTACTCTCTAACACTTTCAAGGACGACGAATTGGGATGATAAATTAACCTACCATGTGTATTGGTTCCCAGTTACTAGGGCATGTTGAAGAAATTAATCCACTAGTTCTCTGCAAGAAAGCATTGAAATATATCAACAACAAGCTTCTTCGATGTATTTCAAGGGTCCTCTGAGTCGTCAAGGGAGTGTATCCCCCCATTTTAACAAAGAAACCATCAAAGTCATACATTCAAACCAAGAAATGTTTGTATGGGTGTTCTTGAATTGTTTAAGGGGCAAACACTTCAACGAGTCCCTCACACAGAGGCTGGTGACTTTCATTGCATAAATTATGACGCAAACTGAATGCTTTATCAAAGGCGAGGAGAGTAATGTACAGAAAATGGTGAGTGGTTTCAAGGAATGAACATTTGACGCTTATAATGCATTGTAGAAATAGTGCATCAGTATTTATAAAGGGGGATGAATATAGGCACAAAAAATATTTCAAGACACGAATCTAGAAATTAATTGTTTTTAAAAAAATTTGATGCGGGAGCAATTAACTGGATAAGTCGTCTAAAAACAACTTATTGGAAACTCGGATATACAAATTATACAAGATAAATCAATGAAACAAAATGATTAATAGATTGATACAAACTTATTGGAAACATTATATTATAAACAATATTATAAACATTATATACACCAGATCATGGCAATTCAACATCGTGCTTTCATCAATTTCAACATGAGTTCTTCACAATACAACATATCACCAAAACCATCATAAAATCACCACAATAGTATTTATTACATTTGCACATGCATATCACCAAATTATCATCATGAATCACATCATTCATGTCGCAACAACATCATTAACAAATAACCACGGTAAATCATCATAATCAACATCATGTTTATTATTAAAATAACACATCATGGTATAGCAACATGTAATAAATCAATCTCATAAACATATAGATATTGGAATCATGCATCAAAGCACTCAGGTAATTCAATCTTAGTATAGTACATCACATTAGCTCTCCAGCAATTCAAACGGCGCGTAAAACAGATTCCTGAAACTCAAGTTACGGTGTTTTGAAGATTTTTGCTGCAACGCTTCTGCCATCCGTCGCCCAGCGCTGCCTTTGCATCGCCCGACGAATTTGGTGTCGCCTTTGCGTCGCCTCTACATCGCCCGATGATGTTAACCAGACATCACTTCTCCTCCCTATGATTTCCATGGTTGGAGGCCTTCCGAACCTCCGAATTCGATTCCGTAAAAAGTCCCGGTTTTAGAATTCGAAATCCTATGATTATACAATATTCTTAACAGCCTATTACACTTATTAAAGGTCTTAACATCACGCATTTATCAAGGATTCATTCATTCAACATAGGATTTTCCCCCAATTTCATCAATCCTCATCAAAATCAACACACAAAACAAAACCTACCAACACTTTAACCCGATATCAATTATAATAAACGCGATTAAACCCCTTACTTTAGAAATTATTGCTAGCAATCAAATCCTCTTTGTGCTCTTCTGAAACTTCTATGCTCCTTCTTGCCCCTTTGTGCCCTAACTCTGCCTTTGCCTCTTTCTCCCAAAAACTATCATAAAGAGTGAGCGATCAAATTTCTCAAACCTTCCTTATACCAAACTTAACCTTTGGACCCCTAATATTGGTCTTCCCATCATGTCCTCACTTATTCCACATTACTTTACCATTTAGTCTTTCTTGTTTCTACACCATAATTTCCTTTATAATAATAATTCTAAATATTATTATTAAATCCAATAAATCCCAAATAATTATTTAAATTCTAAATAATTATAAACTAATCAAATACTCCTCGTATATTATTACTCCAACACTACCCCCACAACATACCATCACCAAACTCCGTGATGCATCGTATAAATCATAATAATTCCCAAATAATCACAAATAACTAATTAAATAATTGATTATAATTTTTGGGGTGTTACAACTCTCCCACACTTAAATAATTCTCGTCCTCGAAAATTTACTTGATGTACACAACTCTTGATATGAATCTCGCATCTTCCTCTCCAACTTCCGCATCACGTTTGGCAACATTTCGATCATCATTAATCAACACTCCACGTTGTTAACCACAATAATATAACAAGATACAACGCTACCGAGTTATGAATGCATAGGTTCATTCACTCCTTGTCCCATAATTCTAGGATCTCATTCACTCTTGAACATGAGCTACTCGAACTCCAACCCCGACAACGAGGTAACAACATAATTTAAGAACATGGAGTTTCAGGATAAGAACATCGTCTCTATCATTTCACCACACAGTAACACCGTCATAAGAACATCAATGTAACCATAACATTGACAACATTGGCACACAACATTAGTATAACAATGCTACAATTTATCAATTGAACATGTAACTCGATACATCTATTGACATGGAGGTGACTCGAATAATATATAAACCTCTCACTTATCACTTCCATTCTGGATTTCCCAATGGTTTGCATCATTCCCATAGGCTTCCGATGTTTAACCCTTAACTCATAACAAGTCACACACGCATAACGAACTGCACCACATCATGCTTCAGCTGCGCTACTATGATTATCTACCTTAAATTTATTGTCCTCATTTCAATTTCCATTAACCATCAGATCCACAAGTTTCAACTATAACATGTGACTCTCTTTAATACCCACTAGAAAATCATTGTTCACTTTTGATAACTTCAACTTTCCACTCTACAATGTTAGCTTGCGTACAACCTTAACTCTCTGAATTGTTCAATAAGTCCCAACTCTTTCACGGTTACTTATTCATTAGGTTCACCCGAAATGATGAGTGAATATCCTCTTGATAGAACGTCAAACACTTTACACACCATTAAACTAATAAGATAAGTCTATCCCATCCAACATGATCCCGTCTACTACCAACAAGAGAATAAGGGTGATCAGTTCCTCAATTTATCAATAGGTAGCCGACAACCATGATGGCGCATAAACCATCATTAAACTATAATAACATTTTCTTTTGAACTTATGCTCAAATTTACCTACAACACCACGGTCCAATTAACCTTTGTCACTCTAATCATTCTTATTCAGCATAAGTTGCATCTCCACGTGCTTCTCCAATATCTTTACATCCTTCCTAGTACCAAACATCTCATTCCCTCAATTCTTTCATTTACAACATTTCGTACTTGACCTCGTCTCAAACAAGATGCGACAATAACTAGTTAAGCCAAAGAAGCTTCTTGTCTCTATAACCGACTTGGGAGTCTCTAAATGTAGAACTGTATCTACTTGGGATGGATCCACAAATATCATCACCTGAAATAGCATGCTCAAGAAAACTCACCTTCTCAAAATATGATCTACACCTTGACAACTTAGCATAAAGTTTCTTCCCTTTTAACATTGTAATTCAAATCACAATATTTAACATTCCCTTATTCTGACTTAGATTAACTCAAAATGTCCTCAATAAACACCACAACAAACTAATCCAAATATTCTTAATGCTTTCACAAGTTCTAAAATTTATCCTCTAACTATCTCAGAGAAGCAAAAGCTTCTCCCCCACTTGTTTCAAACCAACTCCCGCAGATAAAAAGTTAGA